GCTCCTTCCGCTCCTTCAGCCAATTGCCACTGAGTTACCAGCCCATTGGGGCGTGGTCTCTCTCTCTTTAAAAAAAGCAGCGGTTGTCCTCCTCTCCCTCTCTGGCTTCCGGCTCCGCTTCTGGCTTGCCCGGAGGGGCTGTTGTCTGGGACGGTAATCTGTAAGTTTTTTCCCCTTTGAATAAATAACCATTCTATTAATCATAATTCCAAACTGGTGTGGTATTGTCTGTGACTTACGCCTTCAGTTGACTTCTGGCTTTTTTTTTTTTTATTTCACTTGTGCACAAGAGGTGGATCAAAATACTTAGATAGTGGACTATGGACTTGAGGTGGAGGGTTGGTTGCCAGGCTAGAAATGCCTTCTCCATGTTATTTGCCATACAAACTGAATTTGGGTCCTATATGCACTGAAGGAAGTTCTGGCCTCATTAAAAAACAAAAAAACAAAAAACAAAAACCAGCAATAACTTTAGCCACAAATTCCAACCCAGGGTGCCAAGAAACTCTATGTGACAGGAGAAGGCTCTATCACTCTGGGATGGGTGGCCACAGGGAAGAACCTGGCTGGCGTATGCAGGGAAGAAAGGCACATTTGAAGTCCAGACTCCAGGCCTTACCAGGCTGCTGTCCCTGTACTATGTACCCACTAAGCCAGGAGCTTTTCTGCCACAAGGCTTGCACTGTGTGTCAATTGCCCCTTTCAGTTCAAAGGATCTTCTGCTCCTTACTTTATTGCTTGTATCTCAAGGTAACACAGTAACAAGGTAAGTACATCACCATGGGAACAATCATAAATGCAAGTGAACGCTGATACCATATTTGATGTGACCTTGAAATCCAGACATGTTCTTGTTCCTGGCATTTCAGGAACAGGTGTGGTTTAGATGGGGTTTCAAGTTGGTGTCATTAGCTAAACATCTCTCAAGAACCCCAGTATGAGGCACATGGAATATGCCCTATGCCCTCCCCCCCACCGCGTCCCATGTTAAGGTGTCAGGGTCACATTGGTGGTTTATTTCTTGCCACAGCATTAATGCAATGTGGCAAGATGTAACCTCTGCATGCTGAGTAAAGACTCCATTAAATACGCTTTGCTCTGAGTCCCAGAGAGGAAGCAAAGCAAAGCTATTCTGAGACCAGATGGTACAACCCCCAAGGACAAGGATGTGCATCTGCCTGTGTGCAAGAAAAAGGCCAAGAAAGGTTGGTGCAAAGTCACCCTCAGGGCACACAGGTCCTCAGCGTACCACCGCACCACGTCCTGGAGGCTTGAACACCAAGACACCTGTACCCAGCAACAGCCACCTACCCCGTCACCATCCTGAACCATTACTGTGGGGAGGGATATCAACCATCAGGTTAAGTTTGCCCAGCTTCTTGACAATTGTCATATTGGGATTTCTTTGGAGAAAATAAAGACACACGCCCCCCCCCCCCAAATCTCTGTTGAGTACGTACCTGCCTGCTGCTCCCTCTGACCTCCTGCCTTCAGCCTGGCAACTTCCTATTTCCTATCTCTACGAGTGGCTTTCCTTCTTTCACAGGTTGAACTGCAGAGGCACCAAACCTGCTCATCTTCCCAAGGACAGCCAAGTGTAGAGACTATAGCAACTTACCCAGTGTGTGGTGATTTCCCAGAAGCCTCTAGCTTCTGCCCTCACTCTTGGCTTCTGAGGCTGTTTTGGGTCCCCTGCTATCACTGCTGCTCTACTTCTTACTCTGTAGACTCCTGCTGTGACCTCATGGAATCCGTGTCCTGCTGCAGAATCCTGCTACTTTGTGGTGCTCCGATGTTACTCTATTTTACTGCTGTATAATACTAAGTATATGCCTGCATACTATACACTATGAAAGGCCGTGTGCTATTGATTGAAAGCTGAGTCTGGGACCCATGTCTCAGACCCAAGCATGTCTACTTCAAGTAGTCTCCAAAACCCTAAACTGGTTCAGGATGGGAGACGGAAAAACAGCAAGCAACTGACAGCATCAGAACATTGCATCCTTGCGAACAGTTAAAAGATAAACTATTGCCAACCCAAGGTTATGATCGTTCCAATGCCCTAATAATGCCTGGGGGGGGGAGGGACCTCTAGTTTGTCACACAGACATAAAGGCAGGCAAAGCATCAATGCACATAAAATAATAAATAAATCAGACATTAAAAAAGATTCATAACAGTAGCAACATTACAGTTATGAAGTGCAATGAAATGAGTTTTTGGTTGAGGGTCCCCACAACATGAGGAACTGTATAAAGGGTTGCTGCTTTGAGGAAGATGAGAAACACTGTGGGATGTTTGGAGCACCAGATGTGGTATTTTGTTATATAGCTGCGGCTTCTATCTGTCTGATATTTCCTAATACTTGTTCTTTTTGTTTTCTATGTATTTAATAAAGTTGTTCATTTGAAACCAAAGACATGGCTGTTGTAGATGATCCTCTGGACTGTACTGGACATGCTGTTACTCTGCCCATCCCTGCTAGCATGGGTGTCTATTGTTACTCTGCATTACTGGGGGCTGCTATTGTTTTGTGGTTTCTCAAATTAAAGGGTTACTCTATAAGTTCTTTCCTCTCCTTTCCTTTCCTCTCCTTTCTCCTTTCCTCTCCTTTCTCCTTTCCTTTCCTTTCTTTTCTCCTTTCCTTTCCTTTCCTTTTTCCTCCCCTCCCCTCCTCTTCCCTCCCCTCTCTTCCCTTCCTTTCCCTTCCTTTCCGTTTCTTCCCGAGACAGGATTTCTCTGTGTAATAGCCCTAGCTGTCTTGGAACTAGCTCTTGTAGACCAGACTGACCTCGAACGCACAGAGACCCATCTACCTCTGCCTCCTGAGAACTGGAATTAAAGGTGTGTGCCACCACTGCCTGGCTGTCTTATGGACTCTTCTTTATGGGTTCCTGTAATCACTTGACTCTTAATACAATTGGTAAAATTATTTTTAAAGAACCATGCGGATGCTGCTAAATTTGGCTAAATTAATACAGATGTTCTCTGAGTTACAAGGATTCAACTTAAGATATTTAACTTTTCTACAGTGTGAAAGCATTTTCGTCTACGGCCATACCACCCTGAACGCACCTGATCTTGTCTGATCTCAGAAAGCATTTTCTTACCACCAATCTATTTTTCACTTTCAGCACATTATTCAATAAATAGATGAGGAGGAATTTTTTGCATGACTTTTCCTGGAGATACATAATCAAATACTCATGACATTGCTATCTGACCAAAGAAATTATTTCACCCACATTTAGCTTAGTGAGCCAGTGAGTTTCTTTACTGGGGTTGCAGGAGCATGGGTGACTTAAAGGCCCCTATGTCACTGAAAAGCTCACAGCAGCATGGCTGAGAATTCTTCTCTGGAGTTCCCTGACATTGTGTCTGTTCATTGGGCAGGTAGGGATTTTGTGAATCTTCTCTCAGGGGCTTCCCCAGCCCTTTAAGTTTCCTGTGCCTCTGAGTATAAGGTGCTCTGTTCCCTTTTCCAGGAGGGAAGATTTCAATTTGGAGGAACTAGCTAGCTACAGAATACAATCAACACACTTTAAAAACTAGCCTTTTAATCTCTCTCTCTCTCTCTCTCTCTCTTTCTCTCTCTCTCTCTCTCTCTGTGTGTGTGTGTGTGAATATGAGCATGTGTGAGCCAAGGTGTACAAAGACCAACTTTTGGGAACCAGTGTTCTCCTTCCATCAATACCAGGATTCCAGCATTGAACTGAAGTCACCAGGCTTGCAAAGCAGGCACCGTTACCAGCTGAGCCATCTCATAGGTTCTAAATTCAGTTTTAAACAGCTCTCATTAAATAATTTTGCATGTTCATAGGTTTATATGTGTTCTGAGAGTGTTTATGAAAGGCTAGGTACAACATAACCTATATTGCTATTTGGGTGTATTAAATGCATTTTTGACTTAGTATTTTTACCTTGTATGACTTATCAGGATGAACCCCATTTGGAAGTTGAGCAGCTGTATCTTATTGCCTCTGTTCTGGCGGTATCTTGGTTTGGTAACATCAACAAAAACTCCATATATTCTGAATTATGGTTATCCTTTGTTTGCAAATACACCTCCACAAGTTCAATCAACAAAAACACAGAGCCATTGGGCATGGTTCAGAAGTGAGAACCAAGCGCCTACATTAGGTGTTGTGGCTGGAATAATGCTGACTTCCACCTGTAACTGGTCTATTACTTTTAAAAATGTGTAATGAAAAACACTACTAGAATAAGCAAGCACATTAGAAGTGATTTACATAAGTATTTCCCCAATATGAGTACCCACATCATTCAAAAGACTAAAACTGAACATGATGCTTGCTTACTACACACCAGGCACTTGTAAATACTTTGTGCTTATTTACTCGGGTAAGAACCATTCCTAGTTTTCTTTGCTATCAAGGGTGCACACAGGTGGCTGAAACCTTTCCCAGCAACCCTCCTGGGCAGCAGTCCTAGTTAGAAGCTCTAGCTTCCCGCCCCTCTAATCCTCCGCGGTGTACTTGCCCTTTTCTTAGACCCCACACTACCTGTTTGGAAAACTTTGCGCCCGTTGGCACTGCTTTTCTAGGGCTTTCCCAGCTTTCTAGGAATTGAAAGCTGTTCTAGGCCGCAGGTCAGCCAGATCTTCTTTGAGCCCCAGGGCTACATGCAGTAAGTCAGTGGCCATGTAGGAGATGGGGGGAGACCAAGCCAGGCCTCGCTAGGCAGTCAGGAAAATGGGGTAGGGAAGTGAGGCGTCTGAGTGTATACAGGTCGGTGTCCCTGCTAGCATCAGGCTGGCGGTCTTGTAGATCCGGAGCGGGCGTCCACAGACCGTGGCTAAACCAACCGGTTTCCGTCAGACGACCCAGGTAACGCCAGCAGGGCGAGTCAAAAAGTCCCACCGCGGGCCCGCAAGCGACCAGGACGGGTGGGTGGGGCTTGCGTTCACTGAGCACGCGCGCAGGAGCCTCCGAGCTCGGGTAGCAACACGATCACGTGGCTCCACCTCGGCCAATCAACGGCATCCCAAGGAGGGGCGTCCAGCGGTGCACCTCGGCGGGAGGCGGACGGACGACTTCCGGCAATAATTGGAGGCTGCAGCTCGGTGAGGTTGGTGGCTGCCTCGTCGGAAAGGGACCAGCAGGTGAGAAGGGACTCGGGATGGGCTGGGGAGGGGCTGTCAGGCGGGGCGCTCCCGGCCCACGCGTCGTTGGCCGCCGTGCAGTCCGCTGGCCTGTGCAGGCGGTGGGCTCGCCCACCTCCCGGGGGTCCAGGCGTCCGCCCCCCACCCCCGCCGGCCTGTCATCTGCCGGTCCGTGCCTCCTCCCGAGCACACCTGGCAGGGCAGCATCCTTCAGGCCTGCGCATGCTTTCTCTGCCAGACACAGGAGATTGGCATCTTTATCCTCAGCTCATTTCTGCCTCTCTTCCAGTGGAGTTCCATCTCTGTCCTTGGGCCTGTTCAAACTCCCCTGATCGCACATCTGGAGAGCCGTCCCTGTGAAGGGTCCTTCTGCCCTGCATGCAGCGCCAAGGCTTAATTTCCCACCGTTCTCATTCCATTTTCCTTAGCTCCCGGGCGTGCAGTCCCTACCGCGTCTGTGATGATCTCCCTGGACTCCTGAGGGCAAACCCGACTTCTGACGTTTGGCTTGAAATATGCAGTGCGTTTGTTCACGATCTTTCACAGTCAAATTTACCCACGTTTACAAATTTCACATTTGATCCCAGCTTTTTGAATTTAACTTGCTTAAAAATTTTAAAGAAAACTTGACCAGCGGCAAAACTGAATGCTTATTAGCTTGTAGACTATTCATTCTATTTTAAAAAGGGTTTCAGTATTGTTAATTCCATGTGTGGCATGTGCACCAGTGCCCAAGAACAACAGAGGCCTTAGACCTGTTGGACTGGAGTTACAAACAGTTGTGAGCCGCTTGCTTTGAGTGCTGGGAGCCAAACTTGGGATCCTCTGTAAGAGCAGTTAGCAGGTGCTCCTAGCTGCTGATCCATCTCTCAAGAACAATGGAGATTATCTTTCTCAGGTTTTAAAATGAAACTTAAAGTGAAGCTTTTCTCCCCTTTCTGTTTTTGTTATGATTTGTTTTATTTTGTGCCCTTGCCACACACTAAACGCTCTTGTTGTTTTGAAGAAAAACATAACTGATGTATATTCTAATTATTTTTTCTTGTAATTTGCAAACAGAGCATCACACATGTCAAGTTAAAAAAAAAAAAAGACAAACAGCAACAAACACCCGAACCTGTAATTTCCTGGAATCTGTTTTAATAGGCTGTTAGGATTCCTGTAAATATAGTGGCCAAGAGCATGGACTGTGGAATCAGAGTCCATAATTTTGAATTCTGCCCTATTGAATTCTTTGCTTCTGTACTCTCACGTATAGAAGAAGTTTTTGTTGTGATATGGTGGGTGAACACGGGGCCTCGGGTGTGCTAGGCAAGTGCTTCATCGCTGAGCCTTGAAATGGAGAGTGAAGTTTGTAAAACGAGGATGTTCCCCTCTTTACAGGTTAGTGTGCGGACCAAACTGGGTGTCATTCGCCTACTCGTTCAGTTAATGCCGAGCCCATTCTGAGTTCTGGTGTTTCTTGTTGGTGTTTTCATTCATTAGGAGCACCTGTGCTTGTTGAAGAAAAAGCCATATATATATATATATATATATATATGTATATATATATATATATATATATATTTGTTAATTCAGGCTCTTTGGTCTTAGGAGATTCTAATAGGAAATGAATTTGAAGAATTCATCCTGTTCTTCTGCAGTACCCCATCTTCATGTTTTGCCACATGAAATAGAAACCCAGAAAAGACAAAGCTGTGCAACCCAAGTGCTTTCTGGCGTTAGTTAGCAATTACTGCGCTTAAATTCTAGTGCAGATGGGGCCTGGATGGGTGGCTCAGCGGTCAAGAGCTCCTGCTGCTCTAGCAGAGAACCAGGTTAGGTTCCCAGCACCCACATGGTGGCTCCCAACTGTATGTCACTCCAGTTACAAGAGAATATGACATCTCTGTCTGACCTTTACTGGGGACTGCAGAACGCGCTGCACTTACCTCCGTGCATACGGGGAAGACTCTCATATACACATAAAATGAAAGTAAATACATTAAAATACATGTGCAGGTTATACAAGCCGTGTCACGGCTGAGCAGACTTTGAGACGTTACTCATACACGTATGTTATTTTTTCAGAACTGATTTATGGTTTTTACTTTATGTGCTGGCTAACCTTGGTGTCGGCTTGGTACACCTGAGAAGAGGGAGCCTCGCCTGAGGATTAACGCCATGTTGTCTCGTGGCTGTTTTCTCGGTTGCTACTTGTTGTAGCACGGCCCAGTGTGCTGTGGGGTTGTACAACCCTCGGCAGATGGGACTGGGCTGTCTGAAAGCAGCTGGCTTAGCAAGCCACACGTGGCAAAGCCCTAAGTAGGAGTCTTCTGTGACTTCTGCTGAGTTCCTCCCCTGCCGCCCCTGGATGAAACAAACCCTTTCCTACCTACATGTTTTACCAGAAAACAGAAAAGAAACTAGATTTCCTTTAGCATTTGCAAAGTCTCAAAATAAAGGTAATTTTAATTTTAATTATATTAATGAAATTCTAGGAATTCATGTGTTTTAACCAAGTAGATAAATTCCTGTAAAAGGTTGGTTGTTGCCTGGTCTACAGAGTGAGTTAGTTCCAGGACAGCCAAGGCTACACAAAACAAAACAAAACAAAACAAAACAAAAGTGGGTTGTCATCATTTAAGATCTTTTAGCAACATTATTTTCTGGTACACAAAATCAGATGCTTCACACTGAATTTTTAAAAAGCTGATGTATAACCTTTTAAACTGCAGCTTGTCTTCTGTTATATGGGAAGGGTTTGCTCTGGAGCCCAGGTTGGTCTTGAATTCTTACCTCAGATACTTGAGTGCTAGGATGACAGGTGGATAGGCAGACAGGTGGACAAGCAAACAGGCGGACAGGCAGACAGGCGGACAGGTAGACAGGTATATGCTGCCATACCTAGCCCCAAGTGCTTGGGACTGAACCCAGGGCCTCATGAGCACTAGGCAGGTGCTGTACTACTGACCTATATCCTAGTGGCCCTTTATTGCTGTTTACCGATAAATCGCTTCTAGAACCTGTGCCTTAGTTTATGAGCTATGTAGATTCTGCTGTGGAACAGTGAACTAAGACAGCGATCCCATGATTGCGCCCTGTCAAGTCTGAAATAAATCTTGAAACAAACATTTTCCTCTAGGTTGTAAAATCTGAGATGTAAGGTTTTTATTTTCATATTTCTGTGATTTACTTGCTACCGAGCCTCAGCTTGCAAGGGTTATTTATATTATACCAAACTATTTTCTCACCAAATAGTTCAGTCGGTGAGTCACAATACGCATAGGATTGACAACAACCAAAACGTAATGAGAAATGCCACAACGGCTCTTTTTATAAATGCTATTAAATTTTTTTTAAGCAGAGAGTGGCTTCCTAGGTTAGTGCAGTGTTTGCGTCTTATCAAGCGTAAGACACTTGTTAGCTGAGGACATGGGTCTACATGAGACATGGGTGAGGAACTGCAGGTTCAGGGGTTACTTTGCTTTTTCTGTTCTCCCTTTGAATTTTACACTACAGACCCTAGAAAATTATCTTTCTAGACTGGGCAATGGGACTATAACACAGAATAAGACATTGTGATTATCTTGGAGGAAAATTAATGTTGAATACATAAGTAATTTCAGATACTGGATGGTGGCAGAGGCTGGTTCATGGGGTGGAGAGGTCTGAAGGGAGCTGTTTGCAGGGAGCCTTTGTAGGAGGTGGCAACCTGACTTTGTAAACATGAATATCTGGAGCTGTTCCTGGCATTTGCTGTGTGTGAGACTCACCTTTGGACCCAGCATTCCTTCCCGTGCCCCTCCCAACACTGCTGTTCTGCTGTGTCCCTCCTCAGCACTCCCTCGCCAAAGACCCAGGTTTGGTTCCCGGCACCACCTGCATGGCAGCATTTTGCCCTATGTGGCTGCGGCTGCACCGCCAGTCCTCTGAAGGTTCACTGCCTTTATGCCCTGTAATGCCACAGTCTGATCAAATCATTTGCCTCCTGGTTGTTCTTAGGACAAAGCCCAACCTTTTCCTCGTCAGGTCATCGTCCTCCCCTCCCCGTCTTTGCCGACCGTATTCCATTTCCATTCTCCATGCTTTTCGTCCACAGTGGGCTCTCTGCAGTCAGGTCGGACTGTGGCTCAGTTACGTCGCCTCCTACTGCTGGAATGGGTGGGAGGTGGGGAGAGCTGTTTGGAGTGGTTCCTCAGCTTGCTTGCTTCTAGTGATTCAAATGCAGGTGTTGTCTGGGGTAAACCTTTCACCACACATTGTTGTGCAGTAAGACCCACCTGTGCTTAACCTCCTGGTTATTGCTTTAGTGCAACCGGAGTGTTATATAATCATCACCGTGTGCATACCACGGCTAGCAGCAGTAAGCGATACATGTAATTTACATGTTAAATAAAACTGGTTCTGTATGAGAAGAAATTTATGTTTGCTTTGTTTTCCTTTTTTTTTTTTTTTTTTTTGGTGATAGGGTCTCTTTGTAGCTCTAGCTGTCCTGGAACTCACCCTGTAGACCAGGCTGGCCTCAAACTCAGAGATCTGCCTGCCTCTGACTTCCGAGTGCATCACCACCACCCAGCCAGAAGAAATTTGTGTTCGTTATGTGTATATATACTTTTAATGTAAACTGTTTATTTTTATTTTTTTTTCACAGGAAAACTATGCCATTTCTGGGTCAGGACTGGAGATCCCCTGGATGGAGCTGGATTAAAACCGAGGATGGGTGGAAAAGATGTGACTCCTGTAGCCAAGAGCTCCGGAGCGAGAATAACCAGTACTCCCTCAACCACAGCATGTACGTCTCAGTGAGGAAGAATCGCTGCTGCCACCTGCGTGGCCTCATGGTTGTCAGGTCACTGTAGAGCTCTGTCGCTTACAGTTGTGCTCACGATTTTGGCTAGGCCTGCAGTCAGACTGCTCCTGTGGTGTGCCTGTCTCCATCAGCAGTCATGATTACAGGGACAAGGGACACTCAGCCATACCGGGTTTCACATGGGTGCTGAGGATTTGAACTCAGGCCTCCCTGCTTGCATAGCAAGAGCTCTTAGCCACTGAGCCATCTCTCCAGCACCAGGCTTACATCTGAAACATGCCTGCATTCCTTGTCCCTAGTAAATAGTAGCTCCCTCCCTGTCCTCTAACTCTCACACCACTCGTGATCTCTGTCTGCCCTTTTGTGATGAGATGATCTGTTTTATAATAATGTCCTCAGATCCGGGTGCATTCAGCATGTACTGGTAAAGTCCCTTTGTTTTTTAAGCCTGACTATTTTGTCTGGATTGTCATGTTTTGTTTGTGTGTGCAGTTGTTGATAGACATGTCAGTGTTGTGACTGGGGCTGTCACGGATGCAGGAGCGTGGGCGTCTCTTTAGACCCGCTTTCAGTTCTTTCTGTTCACACGGTAATCAGCTCAGTATTTAAGGGTTCACTACTCCCATCCACGCTGGCTGTGCCGTTTATATTTCCACCACTAGTGCATAAAGGTCCTCGTGTTCCACATCCTCGCCAACACTTACTTCCTGCACTTTTGGACGGCAGCCATCTTCGGGAGGGTGAAGTGTTAGGGCAGTTTTCGCTTGCATTTCCCTAAGAATTAATGAGGTTGCACACATTTTCATACGTTCTTAGCCCATTTGCATTTCTTCCTTCCACAAATTAAAGTTTTCTGCCTGCTCTTTGGGGGAATTTATTGTAGAAGATTCTTTTGTTTTTAAAGCAGGATGAGGGATATTTGTATTGCTCATAAGACCAAAGGCCATAAAAATAGGAACTGTTTGCTCTGAAGTGCAGTTGACTAAGTTTATTTGCATGAAACATGGAAAGGTTTGTACAATATTTATGCTTTTATTAAATTCATACATGTTAAATTTTAATTCTGGAAGCATTTTTTTTCCCATCAGTTTTACATTTTTGTATATCTGGCGGTATAAAAATCATTACCCAAAAGTATGACCTTCCTACCTTAAAATACCTCATAAAAATAGCAACTAGTTAATAATTTGCTGTTGTGAGGTATTTGATTACACTGTGTGAAGATATGTCATTGTGATTGGTTTAATAAAAAAGTAAATGGCCAGTATCTAGGCAGGAGGTATAGGCAGATCAGTTTTCCTTTGATAAGTTTGTGATTTTAGCTAGAGCTTTTTCTGATTCAGAAGAGTCTCCATCTAGTGTCTGAGTCAATGATGACAGGCTAGGATAAGAGTGACCCTGGAATTGTAAGAGTCAGGGATCTGTGTGTTCAGAAGTTGGGTCATTAGGTGCCTGTGAGAGGATGCAGTTGTGAGGTTTGGATGCCCCCTGGCTGCCTGGAGGACTTACTGCAGTGCGTATGCTGTTTAACTGTGGCAGCAGTAAGCCAATTTCAGCAGTAAACTCAGCTCTCTTATGAAAAGTGCACACTGGTGGCGGATAAAAGCGATTTTTACACAGTTTTCTCATCAAAGAACAGTGATGGGGAGCTGGAAAGATGGCTCAGCGGTTAAGAGCGTGAACTCCTCTTCCAGAGGACCTGGGTTCAAAACCCAGCACCCACATGGCAGCTCACAGCTGTCTGTAACTCCAGTTCCAGGGGTCTCGACACCCATGGCAAAGCACCAATGCACGTAAAATAAAAGTGAATAAATTAAAAATTTGAAGATGCAGTGCGATCGGTAATGAAAGGTCCCCAGACTACCTTACAAAAGATACAGCTTTAATAAAACAGAAGGAAAAACTTACACCAGAATCCCAACCGTCCAGAACGCTGGATCCAGGCCAGAGTGAGAGAGGGCGGGGCGGGGGGATGCACCCTCCAGGCTTATAGGTAAACTTTTGCATTAGGGCAACACGCCCCACAGACAGAATGTGATTGGCTGAACTCTCCTATCATCTCCCCTTTTTTTCTAAAATAAGACAGAACAAAACCAAATACCATTATATACAACAGAAACAAATAATACATATAAAATTATAAACAACAAACAATATTAAGCAAGAAGCATATAGCAAAAGTTTTACTAAACATTTTATTTCAAGGAGTCTAAATAATGTAGAGGGTAACTACAACTATGTAATCTTCAACTCCATCAAAGATCTGAGAAGGGAAATAATTTTACTCAAGCAGCCAGGAAGTACAAGCGGGAAACTTCCGAAATGTACAACAAATGGAAGAGACAACTGAATACCTGGGCAATCACCCAAATTCTCGTTTGCAATGTTGAGTCAACCAACTTTGGCTAAGGCCTGATGTAACTGACATGTCATTTTTTAAAGGCAAAAAACCTTTTAGGACTCTCTCACCCTGTCTTGGCAAGATAAGACAATCTTGCTTTTATCCATTTACGGATATTTTGTAATTCTGTCAGTGTTTGAGGTATGGGCTTTTTCTTTGCCCAAAGGCCAGTTCTGCCAGGAAGAAGACAAGCTCCATGTGGAGTGTCTTTGGTACTCAATGTTCTCTCGGGAGTAGAGTGGTGATGCCAGGAGCGATTGAGTCTCACTACTATAGAACTATGAGTTAGATTAAAGGCCATTTTCTACAGCTCTTCGAAGAGGTTGAAGATTATACTATCTATACTAAGTATGATCTCTATGCACCTAAATAAGCTGATTAGCCTAAATATAAATATAACAAACATATATGACTATTGATTTCTATCTATCTAACTTGAAGACTAAGAGAATGAACAACTGTGCAATGAGTGAGGACAATGACCTCCAAATGTAAACAATGTATATCATTACATAAATATTTTAATCAGAGGTAGGAATGTAAATATATATATATCAATACAAATAGAGGTAGAAGCATACTCACATACAATATTCAATATATCAATGTACAAAAATCAACACCAATACAATTTTCTAAAAACAATAACTCACAAATACCAATATATTATTATCCCATCACCAATCAGTCGCCCTTTTTTTTTCTTTATGATAAACACCCCTGAGCTTATAAAATACCTCCCCCATCCCCTCATCCCTATATCAATTATAACCAACCCCTAAATGATGTCCCTAAACCTGAGGGCAAATTCTACTGGGAGAGGGGACGTCATCCTCTAAAATTGCTTCCAACTGTCATGGGGGTGACGTTTCTCTTAGGGGGCCCTGTGAAAATAATTGATGGTAAAATTCCAATATTAACATTTGGTGTGAGAAAGTTGCAAATAGTCTCTGAGTAGTTTAAGGAGGTTTGGCCAGAGTGTTGTCAAATTTTGTGCATCATTCGGAACTGTCTTGTGTAGCTGGTACCAAAAAACAGGTCTAAAAGTAGCACTATCAACATTATGACGTCATAGTAATGAGGTGGAGTTGATGTTGTGGGGCCCCATCTTCATCCTAGAAGCTTTAAAGATTACTGCAGGAAAATTTATTTTTTGTTATGGGAAAGCTAAACATTATCTACGAAGACATATACAGACACACACACACACACACACACATATATATATTAATAAAGACGGAAACAGATGTGGGGAAAGGCAAAGAAAATTTATCAATTGTAATTATTTTGTCCCATATCTTGGCTCTTGACATAAGACAGAAACTCTGGGATATCTCTTATTAACAGGCTTGGAAATGAAGAGGGACTGAGCCATAGTCCAACTCCAAAACCAGCTCTACATATTTATAAATAAATGTACAATAGTACATATTAAAAAAATAGTAATACTTACCTAAACTATTTGGTTTCATTGTTGATCCTTGTTGGGTCGTAGATGGTTTCTATCCATCATTATTTAAATATCCAGGGAGAGGGCGGGGAAATGCACCCTCCAGGTTTATAGGTAAACTTTTGCCTTAGGGCAACACGCCCCACAGACAAAATGTGACTGCCTGAACTCCCCTATCAAAAATTCAAAACCCATTGATAAAATCAGTGATGGGCTGAAAACTAGCTTTTAAGTGTGCCCCCTCCCAAAACAAACAAACAAAAAACTCAACAAACAAAAGCATATTTAGTGTTTAGGTTGTGGATTGCTTTTTATACTTTTTTCTTTTCTTTCTGTCTGTCTTTTTCTTTTCTCTTCTTTCTGTCTTTGTTTGATTTGTTTTGAGACAGGGCGTCTCTGTGTAGCCCTGGCTGTCTGGAACTCAACCCTGTAGACCAGGCTGGAATAGTTTTTATTACAAAGAGAGAAAAAAAAAAAAGAAAAGAAAAGATGTTTGAGCTGCTAGTGCTTGATTTGAATTCCTTGTCTCATAAAAATGAAAAAAAAATACTAAAGTACTTTAAATGTGTTTGAATATTACAAATGTAGCGTTCACTTGCTGGTTCCTCAGCGTATTTGATAGGAGCTTATTAAGAAAAGGCACAGTGCAGCAAGAGTGAGTTGGAGCCAAATATCTGGAAAATGTAGATGATAAACAAGGGCTAGCGTTATGTTTGCTCAGCTTTGGTTAGGGACACAGCAAGTTTCAGCCCCGTAGTCATATTGCTACTAGGGTTCAGTGCTTTTATGGTTTTGTTTATAATGTTCAGGCTTTAAACTATTTTGATGTTTGGAAAGTCTAAAGCATGGCTGGCTTTCTGGAGGAACATTTTTAAAAGAAAGAATAAATCTTAGTTGCTTCAAAATAAAAAGAGAATGTAGCTATTACCCCTGAGTTTCCAGTTCGTGCCTCCCTGAAATGTAGCTAGTCCTCACCAGGGTTTAACAGGGTCTTTATTTTCATCCCCAGATTACCAAGTGAATACTTACTTTCTTAAAAAAGAAAAGCAAAGTGAAGTTCTTTGTGAAAAATTTACTTTAATGAACTGTCTGGGTTTTTTTGTTCATTTGTTTAGTTTTGTTTTCTGAGACAGGTTTTCTCTGTAGCTTTGAAGCCTGTCCTGGAACTAGCTGTTGTAGACCAGGCTGGCCTCGAAACTCACAGAGATCTGCCTGCCTCTATCTCTGCCTCCCTAGTGCTGGGATTAAAGGTGTGCGCCACCACCACCCAGTTTAATGAACTATCTTTGTTTCAGTATCTTAAATAATGGCGAAGAAGAAATATTCAACAATGAGTGTGAATATGCAGCCAAGAAGAGGAAGAAGGAGCATTTTGGAAATGACACAGCCACTCACAGTAAGAGTGCTTTCGCTGGTTTTATCATCTTATTTGATATTGCCGTAATGGATTGCTTGGCAGTGCTCTCTAACAAGGTGCAGGGTGATGGAGGTGTGCGGACAAGCTCTGTGCTCAGTGCTGCCCGTCTGTCCAGTGAGCAGACTGCCTGTCACTCAGCTCACTGTTGGTAAGGTCTAGACAATCAAAGACGGCAGGCCTGAAGCATGCCTCTGCATCTGAGGATGCTGCCCACAACTGAGCTCCTCCTAAACAGAAAGGCCCCTAGGAGGGTTGGTTTAGATATGGGGTGACTGGGGAGTGTGGACAGGAGCCAGAAGTGGGCAGAGCTAGGACGAGAGGCAGTGATGTGCAGGTGGAAGGGCATAAGGAGTCTGTGGGTTCTGTCACAGCCCTGCCCACCTTGGCCCATGCTGGGAATACCTGCTAGAATGTGAGGAGGGCAGACACAAGAAGAGGCTTCATGATCTTGGTTATGTGTGCCATGTGTGGCCATAACAGCTAATAAAAGGCCAGTAATGATATAGAGATAATATTACAGAATTTTATAAGCATGTATATTTGATATAACACTTTTCTTCTATGTTAACAAGATGCGTTACTATCAATTTATTTTTCATGTAGAGGTGTCTGAGCACTTAGGTGATGTAGCGCCTACCCTTCACTCTTTGAGCTACGTGCTAGGGTACTGTTCACAAGCTGGGAAAGGGGCCTGGAGATTTAAACACACAGAGACACGGGTCATCCTTGAAACAAGAATGCCCCCTTTAATTGTCAGCTTCTATAGGGCTCTGTCCACGCCCCAGCTCTCGGGATCTTTCAGCTGCAGATCCATCAGAACCCACTCCCCTGCCATCAGGGTCTCGTGCTCAGAGCAGCTGCAGGCTCAGAGCAGAGGAAAACAAATTGTTTACAGGAAATTCAGGGTCTGGGGGGCCACAGCCCCCAACAAGGTGATGTTAGGAAACAAAGTGTGCTGTGTACACTCACCAAGCAGAAGCACCTCGCACCTCTTGGCTGGAGCAGTGAGGTCATCTTGCTAGTCTGTCCGGCCTTCCAGTTTCCTCAACATCTTGAGGTTGAAAGGATTTGCCAGATTTCAAGGGCCTTTCATCTTTGTTCTAGGTTTTTATCGTGAGAAGTGGATCTATGTTCATAAAGAAAGCACAAAAGAAGTAAGTATGCTTTAGAAGAGTGTGCGCTGTATTGTTTGTGCTGAATATGTCCATTAGTTTAGTTCTTTAGTAATGCTATAGTGAGTCTATAGCTCACATTCGAACAGATGAATATGTATGTGACAGCTTTTTGAATCAGTGACTATAATTATGTACATGTACATGTGTGTATTCATTGATATGTGCATGACTGTGCACTGGGTATGTGTGGTATAAGCATGTGTGGTGTTAGATGTATTTGTGGTATATAGTGCATGTGGTATGTTTGTGTTCTATAATCTATGTGGTAACTGTGTAATATGATGGATATGTATATTTGCATGTGTGTGGTGTGTGCATATATATATATATGTCATATGCTGTGTACCTGTGAGTGCTATGTTATATATTTGTATATGTAGCATATATGGGATGTGTTTGATATATAATGTATATGTGATATCTGCATGTGTGTGTATATGGCATGTTTATATAATGTGTATGGTGTACATGCACATGGTATGTACTACATATGTGATATGTTTGCGATATGTTTGTGCATGGACTGTGTGTGCCACACGCACGTGTATGCTTGTGATGTTTGTAGTGTGTGTGGTCCATGAGTTTGGATATGTGTATGTACTTTTGATCCCCATGCGTCTCTAAATCAGCAGGGGTTCATTAAAACCAAACATACATCCCTGTGTGTTTGATCCATGTTCTGGCAGTGTGACCTGCACCTGCGGGTGAAGTTTTCCCTTTACCTCGTGTGTTTGGGGAATAAGATGCCCATGGACCCCTCCTTCCAAAATGCATAGCGACTCCTAGGAAACCACCCAGGTCGGCTCTGCAGGACACTGCAGAAGTTCCTCTGCTTCTGATTGCAGAGCTGACCAGAGCTCTCTCGTGAGTCATCCCACAAACCACTTGGCTACACTGTGTTTCTTGTTTCTCTACTTAGTTTTAAGTAAACCTAGTTCCTTTTATAGACCTAGAACATCTGCATTTGCTTTATTTTACAGCTGTTTGGGAAAAAAACTAATGATGCAGTTTCGTATTACATAATTATGAGATTAGGATTAGTTAAGTGTTCCAGAAATGTTAATAATACCCTTATTTTTTTAATATACCACACTTATTTATTTAGTGCGTGTATGTGTGTGCGTGCTCTGAGCTTTGCTTCCCCGCAGCTCACAGCGGTGTTTTACATGTAGTGAATGCTCAGAAAACATGGGTATTGATGTTCTGTGTGAATGTGTAACTGGGTAGTACACGTTAGGATTGTTAGAGTTGTGTAGTTTCCCCACGGGGCCAGCAGACACATTGCTGCCTCTGCTGCCCTTCTGCAGCCCCACTAACCTGTTTCAAACTCAAAGTCACTTGTCACAAGGAGTCTTGTGGTTCCTTACTGTCTTCTAGTTCATCTGCCCCGTGACTCAGCTGAAAATCCATGCATAGATTTAGGTGTTTCAGATGCAGAAGGTAGGGCTTAAAATCCTTCCTGACCTGAGCTCAAGTCTGTACAGACCGATACAGAAGATGGAAGACCTCTCAGACAGAGCAAGCAGCAATATCTATGACCCTTAGGAGAAATTACATCTCCTTTTTGGTTCCCAGATCTGTGCATTTCATTGTAGCAGTTGGCTTTTTGGCTGCTCAGCTCCCATGATGCCAGTCTGGAAACCAGCCGTTGTCAGACTTGGGTCATGGAACCTCAGGCATCCACATAGCTGTTTTTCAGAGCTGCCCCTCTAAGGCCACTTGGTGGTTGAGCACACTTCCCCCAGGGCTGTCAGAACTCTCTGTGGAGACACGCTGCTGGTGTCCAACACTGGCATCCTGTGGCCTTGTGTTCACCCCCGTCCCCCACTCCCGTCCCCAGCAGCAGAAAGCAGAATGGTGTTTCTTGAACTTCTCTTTGCCATTATACCAGCAGTGTGAACAAAGTGTCAGTGCCTCGCGTCTCAATTGCACACAATTGGCTTCAATTCAGCGTTGCTATACTTTATTCTCATTTATATCTGACGTAAATCTTTAGAACCAATACAATGCCGTTTATGCTCCCTAGCTGACATCACCTGTTAGCTCATTGTGCTCGGCTGGTTGAGCTCACTGCTTGTCTTTTTTCTAGAGGCATGGCTACTGTACCCTGGGAGAAGCCTTCAACCGGCTAGACTTCTCAAGTGCAATCCAGGATATTAGGAGGTTCACCTACGTGGTCAAAGTAAGTGGCTGTTTCAGAAACAGCGTTCTGTTGAATAACCGTCCTGCAGGTTCCAGAAGCGAGGTAGGCACGGTGCTGTGGCCGCTGCACTAAGGTTCTCCTGAGAGAAGGAAAGGGACAAGCGTGGGAGAAGATGTGGGGCTTGCAACACCGAGGTCTCAGTTGCAAGTCTCAGGCTTGGTGAGACCTTCCTGCCCGGAGGCCATGGGAACTGGGATGTTCCAGAGCCTCTTTCTGGGGAACACCTCAGACAGTTGAGCTCAGAAGGACCCCAGTGACTCCATCTGCGTTTTCTACTGTATGCATTCACTTAGAATGGGCCTTGTTAGAATGTCTGTTCACAAGGGTGAACAGACAAGAGGAATCTTACACAGAATAGAGGTCCACAAGAGTCTTGCTGCATTACTGATAGTTTGTCAGAAGTTTCTGTTTTGGGATATGTTCGGAAGGAAAAGATCATTGCTGTATAGAGTTTGCTTTTGTGGCTCATTCACTTCTCTGCATTGTATGTAAAGTACAGTGGGGTCTTCACACCTGCTAGCCCTCCTTCCAGTGGTGCTTAGAGACCCTTACTGCTTTCTAGGTGTTTCCAGGTGTTGACACAAGGACAGAGATGGATTGCTCTTGGCCTCAGCTGGTGTGATGTGTGACAGGATTCTAGGTGACTGGCGGATGGCAGGAGAAGCGGTCACAGTTCTTCTTGTGCCCAGTAGACTTTGGGTATGATTTCCTGAGTTCTTGAGAGCATCTGTCTGGGTGACTCTGCTCTGGTGATGGAACCGAGATTCACTCTGGCTTGTTCAAGTGTTGGCTTTGGCATCCAGGGAAGACAAGGCCGATTCTAACAGAACTGCTCCTTCCAGCTCTCAAATACTTCTGGAAAGAATTTTTTTTTACAAAGTAGAAGTGACTTCCTCTGTTTCTAAACAACAAGTTTTCTTAATAGAGTTGGTACTTATATTTGTCCAAAATATGATTAGCCTAGCCCTGGAGGCCAGGTGAAGTCTCCTGTTGCTCTGATGAAGTCCTCTAGCAGAAGCAGTGTAAGGGTTGAGGCTCTGTTTGAAATAGAAAGGTGAAGTGTCCTGTCTCAGAGCGCAGTGAGCTTCTGTGTTTCCTGTTCGCCGTGGTGGCAGCTCTGGGCTTGCTTCTGTGTCCAGCTTTCCTCCCTTTGTCCCTTCTGTATTTGTTATCGTAAGAGGTTGGTTTTGAGCAAATGCTCTTTCATGTTCCTTGAGATGATAGGCCGGTTTCCTCCACTGTTGATGCGTGGAAGGCTCAGGGGTCAGCCTGTGTTGAACTGTCTTGAAATGACTCTCACATGCTGGTGAGCTATCTTGATGTGCAGTTGGTTTCTGTTTCCTGGAATTGGGCAAGTGAACATATTTTAGCATCTGCCTTTTGTTTGTTTGTGTTTTTCAAATCGTGGATTTTGTCCTGTCATGCTTTGTTGCGGTGTCCTGATTTGCTTTTGGTATTGATACCACTAGCCCTATGGTGTGCATTGAGAAGAATTCCTTCCCCTTCTTGGAATACTTTGAGAAGAAATGGGTTCTCTGTTTGGTAGGATTCAGCAGCGAAGCCGTTTGGTCCTGGGGTTTTGATGAGCACCTTCGTCACGGCTTCAGTCTTGCTGTGCATTGCCCGTCTGTTGAGGTTCTGTTTCTTCATAATTCAGTCTTGGTCTAAGATGATAGCAAACTGTGGACCAGGGTGGCCAAGCAGAATGGGCTGAGTGTCCTCGAACCTGGGGATAGAGAAGTAGTGTGGGCAGCTGCGTCAAGGAGTGGGGAGGAGAGACCGTGCGCTGACTGCTCTACCTGTAATTATAAATGTTGTTCCCTAACATGGAGCTGTGGAAAGGAGGGGAGAAAAGGAGGTGGCGGGTTTATCATGACTTAGAATAGGCAACCGACAGCTGGGTGTCTCCTCTGAGGCCCGAGAGGGTGAGAGAGTGATGGAGAGTCCCAGTTACAAAAGTATCGGGGCAGGATAATGTTAGCCCACCTACGTTCTGAAGGAACTATTGGGAAAGAGTGAGGAGTTACGTTGTCATTTTGTTTTTTAGTTATACAATATGTCAGAACTAAGATCAAACCTTTATTATGTCAGTAAATGCTTCTCTGTTGGGTCAAAGAGCACAGCCAAACTCCAGGTTATACACACTTAGTACCCAGATGTAGAGATCTGTAGTTGGGAATAGAAGGATGGGAAAGATACAGAGGAAAATAGAAACAAACCCGAGAGGAACAAGAGGCATGGAGGGACACAGTCCTCAGCAGTGCCAACAAGGGTCAGTCTGTAGCAGGGCTGAGGGAGGCCAGGCATCAGGATGAGCCTCCATCTCTATCAGCAAGGTTGGCATCGCTTAGATTCCAGTGCAGCGATCGTTCTTGGTTCCTAGGTTTTCTACAGTGTGTCTGAATTGTGTTTTAAGAGATTATATGTGGTGATCTTTTTAAATTTCACACGGAAGGAAGGGCCTGTTGACTTCTTGATTGTCAGCGTTAGACAGTGGATCAGAGCATGAAGGAGCGTGAGGAAAGTCTGTTGGTGACCAGGGTGCTCTGCAGCTCCCTGCTGAGGTAAGGTGCGAGGCTAGAAGGCTGGGCATTTACTCATCTCACCGGCCTGCAGCCTGTGGAGATTCTTGTGCGGAGTGGAAAGCAGGCTGGCTCCAGCCTCAGCATCCGGAGTAAGGTCCCCTCAGCTCACACTGTCCTCCTGCAGCCACCTTATCTAGCGCCACACGTCAGCCCGTTTCACACTGCTCCAGTATGTGACTGTGGTGTTTCCGTCGGAAAGGGACTCACAGCTTAGCCTTTCCCTTCTTATCTTGAAGCTGCTGCAGCTGATTGCGAAGTCCCAGTTAACCTCCCTGAGCGGAGTGGCGCAGAAGAACTACTTCAACATTTTGGATAAAATTGTCCAAAAGGGTAAGGTTATTTCTCAACATTTGTTGATAGATAAGTCACATAGTATACACCTAGGCCGTTTACACAACTTCGTAGTTTTTAGTGCAGTGTGTTCATAGGATTGGGAAGCCATCACTGCTTTTAACTGTATAACATTTTTGACAAGTCCATGTCATTACCTTCTCCCACCCCTTCTGTGCTGGAGGGTTTATGTCAGTCATCTGAGAGGAGGGAACCTCAACTGAGAAAAAGCCTCCATACGATCAAGCTGTACACAGCCTACAGGGCATTTTCTTAATTAGCGATTGATGGGGGAGCCCACTGTGGGTAGCTCCACCTCTGGGCTGGTGGTCCTGGGTTCTATAAGAAAGTAGACTGAATAAGCCATGAGGAGCAAGCCAGTAAGCAGCACCCCTCCATGGCTTCTGCATCAGTTCCTGCCTCCAGGTTCCTGCTCTGACTTCCTTCAGTGATGGATGTGACCTTAGAGTTGTAGGCAGAAATGAACCCTCTCCTCCCCAAGTTGCTTTGGTAACAGTGACCCTAAGGCACCTGCTGACCCCTTTTTCCCAACTAGTCTCCCTCTTCCTTAGCCATAGCTGCTGTGTGTCCATGACGTGTGTTCATAGCAGGGGCGTGGCTTATCCAGGATAGCTGCTGTGTGCCCTTGACATATGTTTATAGCAGTGGTATGAACACTTATCCAGAAGGCAGCACTTCATAGCACACTTTCCTCTTTTCATTTAGGTTTGAGCACTTAGTTACATATTCTCATCACCTTGGCTGGTGAAGAGTCTCTATTCTAACTACTGCCCACTGCATAAGCTTCTCCACCAAGGCTGAGCACAGCACTGGGCAAGGGCTCTAAACAAAATATTAGGAAACAGTTTGGCATGTCCATTTAGCAGAACAGCAGTAGCGGGTTCCCTACCCAGGGCTTATTACCTCCCTAGCCACAGGCTTTTGGGCAAGTTTACAGCACCAGGCATGTATCCTTTGCTGTGGAACAAGCCTTCAAATCGAAAATTCAAATCAGAAAGGAGTTGGTTATCCCCAAAAGATAGCCACGCCACTATTGCACAAGCATCACCAGAAATTGTAAGTCTAATGTTAACTGGAAATTTGTTATAAGGAGAGGAGCTTTTTCCTATCATCTTTCCAGTGTGTACATTCACAAATAATACTGTGCACACTGTGGTAGCCGGCCAGAAGATGACCCTTCAGCTGCTGAGTGTGCAGATGTGCTCAGGGCGGAGAGCTCGCCCCCCAGACCCAGTTCTACAGATGTGCTCAAGGGAGAGAGCTCGTCCCCAGACCCAGTTCTACAGATGTGCTCAAGGGAGAGAGCTCACCCTCAGACCCAGTTCTACAGATGTGCTCAAGGGAGAGAGCTCACCCTCAGACCCAGTTCTACAGATGTGTTCAAGGGAGAGAGCTCGCCCCCCAGACCCAGTTCTACAGATGTGCTCAGGGGAGAGAGCTCACCCCCAGACCCAGTTCTACAGGGATACTTTGTTCTTTCATGGCCAGTCAGTCACAGTTCACTGGACCGCTGGGTTCTAGAATCAGAAAGATTGCAGCTTTTTGACTTAAGTACCACATAAGTCATAATTTTCCTTTTAATTTAATAAATTTACCTTTACCAGTTAGTGGCTATTAGAAAAAGGAACTTTTTGTACGATTAACTTATACACTTCCAGTAATTTGTGACCATGTATTTAAGCCATTTTAAACATTCACCATATCATAAGTACAAGAGAAATTGTACACTGACTACTTTCAAATTGTAGACCCAACCAAAAATTTAGTCAGAAAGGATTTTAAAACTTTAAAAACTTGCCAGGTGGTGGTGGCGCATGCCTTTAATCTCAGAATTCTGGAGGCAGAAGCAGACGAATCCCTGTGAGTTCAAGGCCAGCCTGGTCTACAGAGTGAGTTCTAGGCTCCAAAGCTACAGAGAAGTCGTGTCTTGAAAAACAAAAAACAAAACAAAACAAAAAACTTTAAAAACTCTTATTAATAGTTTTGATGTCTAAAAAATTATGCCTCTTTTAAATTGCCATGAAATTAGATCCTTGTTTTTTAATGTGATAAAAATCTATATGACATAAAATTTATCATTTTCATTGATTCTCAGTTCACTGTTCAAAGCACTGTGTGCTTGTCCATTGTGCGTTCGTAACTGCCGTCTCTAGGGCTGCTGCCCTAACACACTGCACCCCTCAAACACAAGCTCCCCCACTTGCCAACCCCATCCTCCTGTCCCATCACTGCGTCTTTGTCTGCAGACTCTAGAGACTTGCTGCATGCGAATTATACTGTAGTTGGCTCCTTCCAGTCGGCTCCTGCAAGACTCCTCCACGTGGGGCAGGTCAGAATTTCCTTCCTTCTCTAGGTTGAGTGACATCCCAGTGTATGAAGGGATCTTCAGTTGATGGACACTGAGAAGTGGTCTTTGCTCTGTCAATCTGTGGCTTGTTATTTATTTCAGTTCTTGATGACCATCAGAACCCTCGCCTCATCAAAGACCTTCTCCAGGACTTGAGTTCTACCCTCTGCATCCTCGTCCGAGGGGTGGGGAAGTCAGTGTTAGTGGGAAACATCAACATTTGGATATGCCGCTTGGAAACGGTTCTCAACTGGCAACAGCAGCTGCAGAATCTTCAGATGACTAAGGTAGATTTCTCTTTGCTTTCTTGTTTTTGTTTTTGTTTTTTGAGACAGGATCTTACTAGTAGCTCTGTCTGGCTTTGTAGACCTGACCGGTTTTGAACTCACAGAAATCCGCCTTCCTCTGCCTGTACAGCACTGGGATTAAAGGTGAGTGCCACCACATCTGGTTAAATTTATTTTTAATTGACACAGTAATCATATGTACTTTAGAGGTGCTGTGTGATACTTGACATATCTGTGATGTAAGGGGACTCGGTGACCATTACCTCAGACGTTTTGCCTGTTCTCTGAGATTTTCAATGAATTGTTGTCAACCATCGTTATATACCACTGTGCCATGAGCAATAAAAGTTCCTCCTATCCAGCTGTCTTCCTGGACCCATTAGCCATATATTCTTGACCCTCTTCTCTATCTACTTCTTTACTGAGACCCACCTTTTCTTTTCTTCTCTTTTCTTCTCTTTTCTTCTCTTTTCTTCTCTTTTCTTCTCTTTTCTTCTCTTTTCTTCTCTTCTCTTCTCTTCTCTTCTCTTCTCTTCTCTTCTCTTCTC